CGCCCGTCTGTCTCCCTCCTCCTGCCGCCCACGCTCCTCCCACCGAGCAGAGCCCCCACCGCGCTCCTTCCCCCTCCTCCTCCCACCTCTGTGCCTGGCCTCCGCCCAGCTTCTCACCGCTCTCCCTCTCTCCCCTGTGCGTCCCTGCCGCCTCCCACTCCCGCAGTCTCGCCCCGGGTCTCTGTTCATCCTAGATCTCTGTATCCAGCTCTCCGGCCGGGTAATATTTCAGTAATGCATTCCCTCCATACCTCTCCATCGTTCTGTCTGTCCGGCTGGGGTTGAGAGCTTGGATTGGGGGCTCAGAGCACCATCCGTGGAGGGAAGAGGATGCAAGAAGAGACAGACAGACAGACAGACACAGAGACAGAGGAGACCTGGAGAAAGAGAGAGAGAAGGAGAGGCAGAGCCAAGGTAACAGAGTCAGAGAGAGAGAGAGAGAAGCAGACAGAAAAGAGACACAGAGAGCATGAGAGAGACAGACACTAAGAGACAAAGAGAGAAGGAAACGGAGAGACAGAGATACAGCAAGAGAGGCTGGGGAAGCCCTGGCCAGCGTGGCTCAGTTGGTTGAGCGTTGTCACACGAAAGGTCGCCGGTTCAATTCCCAGGGGCTCGGTTCCCAATTCCTGGTGTGGAAGGCTATCTGATCAACGTCTCTCACTCTCTCTCTCCCTCTCCCTTCCTCTCGCTCTACAATCAATAAAGACATTTTTTTAAAAAGGAGAGGGAGAGGGAGAGATTGAGGGACTGAGATGAAGGAAGACTGAAGGGAGATGAGAGATATTCTGAACGGGAGCCTCAGAGGGACTCGGGGAAGGAGAGGTCCTGGGGAAGCAACGGAGAAAAAAGAGGTCGGGGAGCGAGAGAAAACAGGAAACAGCAGGAGAAGGGAATGGGTCTGAGGTCAGAGGCCACAGTGGGCGGGAGAGGGAAGCTTCCAGGACACAGGAGGACAGGTGTGAGGGTGACGGAGAGTCAGGCTGGGGGAAGGCTTCCTCCTTGATCTCAGCACGCCCTGCCCTCGTCTCGCTCTAGTCCCTCCTGCTGTCCCTACCAGTTGGGTGTCCCCCCCCTGGGTCCCCTGAGGCCATGCCTGTCAGGGCACCAGTTGGTGTACGTGTCACTGCGTGTCAGTCACTGCGTGTCGGTGGATCGTGGCATGTCTGTGAGAGAGTGGGCGTGTGTGTGTGTGTGTGTGTGTGTGTGTGTGTGTGTGTGTGTGTCCCTGTCGGCGGGTCACCCTGTCACCCGCTCTCCACGTGGGTCAGGGTGTGTGAGGAGTGTGTCTCAGCCGATCCTGCTCCTCGCCAAGGCGCTTCAGCACCACGGACAGCTCCAGCCCCCGCCTGAGTGGGGGCCGGCGATTCTTTGCACCCACAGAAAAGGAGAACTAGGC